TTTCTCCCTCCTTTCAAGACTCTGGGCGCGCGCGCACACACACACACACACACACACACACACACAAGGGGTGTCTCAAGTCACGGTGGATCCAGGACTGAAACCAAGCAGCTGGCCACATGGCATCTGGTGGCCTTAGCCACCAGACGACAGACAAGCCTGCTATTTCTTTCTTGCTAAATCCACCCCCTTATGCTCTGTGCGTTCCTTAGCTATTTCACTCTAATATCACAATCTAGCAAAGGAAGGAAGATTAAATTGCCATGCTGGGCATCCAGGAACATACTTCAGGATGCTCTTACTCAACATTTGTTCCTATGTAAGGTAAATTCACTTTTTACCGCTGAGACAAGATGGGCAAAGTCATGCCGCATACACTAAGAAAGGGGCTTTACTAGGAAAACCAAATTACTGTCTCTTTCACTGTGTTCTTATTATACCACAAGGAAGCCACATAGGAAGGGACTTTAAAAAGTTTATAAAAAAGTGGAATTAAAGTATGAGTTTATTTTGGTGCTCCCCAAAATTGAAATCCATGCGTAGTGTTTTCATAACACACATTTACCATGAGCTTGGTGAAGACCCCTCACACTGCCACTCTGGACATATCTTGGATTGCATCAGTGGAGCTCCTCGCCACCTGCTGCTCCACCTTTTCTTGATGACGCCAAGGCCTGGCCTTATGTTCAAGGAATGAATATGAGGGCTTCAGACACTGCACACATGGCACGAGCGCAAATGCCAGCTGTGTAGGGAGTCGTCGGCAAATATAGCACCAGGCACTTGCGAGCAGTTGGATTCAGGTTCTTGGGGAAGGGGAGTTGAGCTTCCATCCTTGCCACTAGTTGCTAGGCAACTGGAGTTTCTAGCTTCAAGACACCTGCTTGTCTCTCTCCACGTATGCAGTGCATTTTCTGATTTGCAAAGGAGGCAAGAGTTAGTTCCCAGAATAGGAACAAACTTTGAAAGATTATCTAATCCAACCCTCTGCTGTCCTGCAGAAAAGGCATAATTACCCAGTTTTTTTTTTACAGATAAGGCTCCAAAGTGAAAGTAACTGCTCTCTTTGGACCAGTCTAAATTTATATTCTTCTAACAAAAGTCAGGTAAAAAATTCAGGACACCAAGAGACAGACACTGGTCAAAGGTTAACTGTGAAGCCCAGAGCACTCCTCCCTATTAAGCACAGAAGCCAAAATTCACATGCGATGTGCATGTCCTGAAGATGGCACCATTCACCCGGGGGCCTGAGTGGACCCTGGAGTCTGAGCTGGCTTTGTTGTGCACAGACGGACAGGGGAGCCTGCTGCCTCCTGCTGGGCCTTGGGAGACTCCAAAAACAAGAAGGGTTTCTGGAATCGCTTTCAACCCCAGACTACAGGACTTGACTAAATCTCTTTCCCTGGCCCATCATATGCAAAGGGACAACCTACATCAGAGTGGTGAAGCACGGCTGCCGTGTTCGTAAGGAGATCCATGGCCTTGCATCGACTGTTCACCCTCTTTCTGCACACGGTGCAGAAGAGGATGCAATCAGCACTTGGGCACACTTTGTTTTAAAACAATGGTCATAACCTTACTGCTGCCCATCGCCATAAAGAGGGAAAATAAATAACACCTGGCATCCGTGACTCAAACCCACTGTGGGAGTTAGTCCCCAAATGCTTCAGGACACCAGCTGCCCAAGGTTGGAAGCAGACCCTGAGACGGGATTTTTTTATTTTTTGGAGAGGTTTTTGCTATAGGGCGCGTGTGCTCGCCAGACAGAGAGAGACAGAGACAGAAAGCGAGAAATCACCCCCCAGGGGGGATGGCCACGCCACAATCCGTTCTCCTCCATTCTCCTCTCGGGATCTTGGGCAAGCACGCACACGCGCCCGGCATGAGTTTAAGCCACCGGGTCTGGGACTTGAACCGCGGTCAACTACGTGGGAGTCCAGTGACATAGCCATTATGCTAACTGCTGGTCCCGAGATGGGATTTTTATGCAAGTAACTTTATTAAGAAAGAGTTTCTGGGGGACCAGCAAATGGTGTAATGGTTGCATTGCTGGACTCCCACATGGTCAACTACAGTTCAAGTCCTGAACCCAGTGGCTTGGAACTCACATGGGGGGCATGTGCGTGCGTGCCCAAAATTCCAAGAA